TCGGCGCTGAAACTTGCTTGGTTGCCGAGTTGAAATACCCGGACAGACGAACACACACAAACATACGCACACATACATACACGTACAGGCAGGGTCGTCCCAATATGCGTTTTTGCAATTTGCATACAGGCAAAAACGCATAAGAAGGAATGTTAATGAAGCATTGTGTTTATGTATTTATGTGTATTTGCATATATGTACGTACGTATGGTATGCATGCATGCATACATTTATGCAAGCATATATGCGCGTGTATGCATTTGTTCGTTATCAGTCAGAGCCTAGCTCCGCAAAAAAAGTTGGAAAAATAAAGTTTTGCGAACTTGGTATCGTATATAGTTTCAGAAACCCTGAATGCGACCGTCTGAATAGTGAAACTGAGTACTAGGAAATCTTTGAAAGAGCGCAGTGATTTAATAATCATTATGTGTAATTTTTCAAACGCATGCGTATTTACGACGTATGTCGTAAAGTTCAACTTTGCGGTAAAAAGAGAGATTAGGAAAGTGAAATTTGGAGAAACACGAACCATTACCAGTTCAAAATGCTATTCTTTCTATTTTACTGGATCATGAGTTGCTCGCATATCAGCAGCCAAGGTTTAAAATCTGTGCTTTTGACTTACAGTCGCAAATTAAACCCGCTATTTCGCACAGCTTGAAAGTCACAAATAACGTGGGCAAATCCTAAATGCAGCACATCATTGTTTCAGCGATATGTAGGCAACTTGAGACGATCCGCGTATGCGGTAAAATATTTTTCTAGCGGTCGAAGTCCAAAGTCTATAAAGAATCACAAAAATCGAGACAGAGAATATTACTTACCTTATAGGATGCAACATTTGATGTGTCACCACCAACGGTCCAGTACAGTAATGTTCGTGATCCTCGTTGTTCGATGCGCGGTTTCTCGATCCCAAGAAGCGGTTTCGGCACACCAGCTGGGAAAAACTTAGTATTATCCGCAGAATTTACATAGGCATACTTTAAAAGTTTTTCTGACATTTTGCTGATTCTAAATAATCTTCATTGCTGAAATGAAAGGTGCA